ACTCCCCCTGTAACTCCTCCTTCCTACTCCTGCTGAGTTATTATTCCAACACTTCATCATGCTGACCCTCACACACACACACACACACACACACAAACAAAATGATCCACTGCAGCCCAGATTTCCCAGGGCGATGGGACAAATAAACACAGGCTAGTTGGCTACAGGGTGCCAGGCAGGCTGTAATGATGTCATCAGCTCACTTTTGCAAACACACAAGTCAGAAGATCACTCACACGCCTGGTATCTCTAAACCATTTGCATACACACACGGTGCTACGGACAGATGGACAGACAAGCTGAAACAATCACCCACATTGTTGCGGCGCTAAAACACTGTGGGAACTAAATAATACCAACCCCACAAACAGAGAGGCAGATAACCAGCAGAGCCAGTTGTGTTCGGCCCAAGCTTTTGTTGTGCTGTTGTTGCTCTGTTATTAATAATTATGTACCTGTGTATGTCTGTGAATGTGTGTGTGTGTGATTATACCAGCACTGTGGTCTGTGATGATAGATATGTGGCTAGTTGCAGGGTGGAGATAAAAACGACACACACATATACGTACCCCTCCAGTACACAAAAGACTAACTGACTACATGAATGAGCAGGCAGGAGGGTGGAAACTACAGTACTGTGTGTCACACAGAAATCTGACACACACACACACACACACGCACAGGTTTACAGGAATGTGTCTCCACTTATTTCCATTTCCGTCTTTATCCTGCTAAAAGGGGGGCAGGGGGGATCCTCCCTCCCTTTCTGTCTCCTTTACACACACACACAAACAAACACACACACACACACACACACACACACACCCTCTCTCTCTCTTTCATATCTTCATACATTGAGGTAATGTCAAAATTCACTTCCACAGAGTGACTGCAAACCAAAACAATGTTCATCTTGTTCTGGGCTTCCCTCCAACTCTGGCTCGGAGCCAAATCTGCATAACCCACCTCTCAATCAACTGGCTATGCAAAGGTAGGCTAATGCTTTTAACTGTACATGCTATTTTCTGCTACCAAATCTTCAGCAAAAACCCTACACATGCAAGCAAGGGCACACTTTCCTCTATCCTCTCTTCTCTTTCTTCTCCCCTCTCTCCATCCTCAACTGTCACCGCGTGCTGTTTTTTCGATTTGTGCAGCATAATGACACAGGGTGGGGAACAGAGGACGGCCAAAACCAAAATTAAGTCCCTTGCCAAAAGGCGGCTTGGCTGCCGCGCAAGGAGAGGAAGTGGGGAGTAATGAGAGATCCTGGCCCGGCACGGAGCAGCCCAGGCTCTGCTCTGCTCTGCTCAACTCGCTGGCTGAACACACAGCCTCCAAATTACAGAGAACAGAGCAGAGCTGCCGGCCATCTCTCCCTCCACCCAAAGCCGCCATCTTCTCTCTCTCTTCATTCCTTCCTCTTACTGTTCAAGCAAAAGATTCAACCAAAGCAGAAACAGTTTTTATGGTGTTTAAGTGTCTCTTAAATGAGTTTACAGTAGCAGGTCACCTGGCTACGTACTGTATACATTTCTATCTTTGTAGAAGTAAAACAAATGTTCAATTTCTTTCTTTCTTTTCTTCTTTGTTTCACTCCCTCCGTCCTTCTAGCTGGTGCACTCCAGTGTTTGTTTTCTGTCAAGAAGAGGCCTCGGCTGCCTCCCTGTCCGCTCGCCTTTTCCTCAAAGACATGAGGTCATATCCTGCGCAGCCCTTTCCTTTCCCTGCTAACCCAAACAAGGCAGGAATGCCGAGAGAGAGGAGGGAGACTGAGGGTGCTCTGTTTCTGACTTGAGCTGTCGATCGCTAGAAGTTCGCCTCCAAAAGAATTATAAGATTGTGTCTAAACATTGGTGATAAGTAATTTAAACCTCACTTCCTGTAAAAAAATAAATAAATAAATAAAACCAACACACGGGCCCTTTCTCTCACTGGGTTTGCACCAAAAATGGGCCGTTTCTTTGGGGCCTTCCATATGACAGCAGAACTAGTTTGATTTAATGAGCCGAGGTGCCAAGACTAAATTTAATCTCTGTCAGAGCCCCTGATGAAGGTTATACCTCCAGCCGATTCACTGGATGACTAATTGACTGACTGAAGGGCTGGCCGACTGTCTGTCGAGTGAGGTGACTGGCTGGTGGTATAAGAATACAACTCAAGCCTAAATTTAACCTGCAGTGGGAGGAAGCGCCTGTGTGACAGTCGGCCGTGCGCCAGGGCTCGCACCAGGTCATTCTATCTGCCTGCTTGTTGTGTACGTGTTGGTGTGTGTGTGAAAATGCGCGTGTGTGTGCGTACGTGCCCGACTGGATCCTCTTACACACAGCACTCCGGGTCAGTCCCCAATGGCACCAGCAGGCACGCCACCGATATACACACACCAATGCTATACATCCAATAAGAGCTAGGCACGAACAGACGTCTATAAATCGCCTTTAAAGAAGACTGCAGGTATGTACACACTATGGCATGTACACACAGGTACACACTATGGCAGTGGATTAAACCTTATTACTTCTGACTGAAATGTGTTTATATCACTGATAATCAAAAAAGTGTCAACTGTGAGATTATCTGGATTCTTTTGTTAAGTCAAAAGGAAAACCCTGTCTATATTGGATAAAGTATTGCTTCGCTAAGATTTTAAAATGGCACCCAGCCCTCGTACAAACACACCCACACTTTGTCCCACAGCCTGAACCTCTGTCTTTTCAAGCTCAAAGAGGAATTTTATTTACCCTCAAAAAAAACTTGACCTCTTTGAGCTTGACGAGATGGACGTTTAGCTACACGGGTGCTACCTGAGCTGTCTTAAGAATCTAGTCCCTAACAAGTTTAAATATTACTTAACACTCCACAGATTCATAACCAACAATCCAGTGCCCTCTTAACCCTGACCCAATCTCCCATTTCCAAATCTCTCTCTTGATCTCTCTCTTCGGTTCCTGGGCGAACCTAAACCCCTGAGCTAAGCCCTCACCCTGGCTCCAACCAAGATCAGCACCTCAACACCCAGCTCCAGGCCTCCAGCCATCAACCCCCACTCCTCTCCTCTTCTCTTCCCTCCTCTCTTCCGTCCTCTCTGCTCTGTTCCAAGCTGATGACGTGAGCCAGCGAGAGGAGCTTTGGAGCTGGTAGCCTGGCAGGCAGCCTAGTTTGCATTTGTGCTTGTCGCTGTCGCAGCTCGCTTAACTCCTTACAGCCTGGATAGTCTTGGCTTTTTCCAAGATGAATAAACAGGGAGAATGAAAAAGGAAAGACGAGAGAGGAGGATGGTATCTCTAACCTCACCTCATCAGCTCCGTCTGCACTGTGTTTTTTTAGATGAATGAGGATGTCTTTTGAGTAATTTTCCACTCTCTAACTCCGCAGGCAGGGTTGCTTTACCAATTAAACACAAACTTTTTCTAAAAGTTAACAAGCACTAAATGTCCTAGTACAACTCGAAAAAAAGAGTGCTACTCTTTCTGACTTCAAGTCTTTGCCACTGTCCTTCCCTCTAAGCCATTCTCCTTTCTCTTACTTCTTCCTTTCTGTAAATATGTCTGGAGAAGAACATAAAAAGGGCAGAGTGAGTGAATTAGAAGGTCAGCGGCGGGCCTCTGGGAGAGCCATGTTTCTTTTGTCAGGGCCCCAGAGGGAGGGAGCAAAGGAGGGAAGCAAGGAGAGAGGGAGGGAGTATGAACGGGGAGGAGGAATGGAGCTGCCTTTTTTTTGGGCTTGCCAGGGAAATCATGAGGGCAGAGTGCTTCGGCCATCCCAGCCCAGAGCCTTTCTACCTCTGCTGCTCTTACTGAGGGGGCCCATTCACTGGAGCGCTGGCCGCTACAACCATGTCATCCTCGCCAGGAAGGAAGGGGAGGAAGGGGAGGAGGAGAAGGAGGAGGGTAGTGTGTACGCCTTGCTGAGGGAGGGAAAGAGTAAGGGAGTAAGGGAGGGAGCATGGGGGCGCCTGTTAAGACTCCAGTTCTTGAGTTTCACAGTTTGAACTGGGTCTAAAATGTGTCTTTAGTTAATGCACACAGGGAGGACTTTAGTGTCCATCTGAAGGTGTGGAGGAGGGGGGAGGAGAGGAGAGACTGATTTTTAGTTCCTCTGTTCATGTAAGCACTGCTCCAATCTCTTCCCTCATCTAAGGACACACACACACATGCAGACAGGCAGGCTAACCCTACCCCCCACCCCCCTACCACCAAACAAAGGAGGGGGGAAAATGGGCAGCCAACACCAACTGACATAAAACAGGCTTTAAAGGCCCAGTAATGAGAACCATCTGAGGCAAGGAAAGCAGAGAACAGCACAGAGCAATCTGAGGCAGCAGAAAGCAAAACTCTGTCTCTCGCGAACACCATCTTATTCTGTAGCCTGCGGACAGGGCGCTGGGTAAGGAAGGCAACGCTGCCAAAGGGGATTATGGGAGAAAAGCTGAGGAAGCCCGAAACACGTCCTGCATGGGAGATGGAAGAAAGAAAGGCGCCTGTGTCTCACTCTCATCCACACACTGAGCCCAGAGGAGAGTTAACTGTCCACAAAGACGTCCCCTGTACGCACAAACACTCCCAAACAAACACTCGCATGTCAGTTGAAGCCTCTTTTTGCTGATTTTTTTCTCTCCCCCCACAATACCGCACGCACAGAGAATATTCTTCTCCAAACAACGGCTCGGCGTGTTTGTCTTCCATTACAACATAACACGGAAAGGGATGAGAGGGAATGTGGAGAGGAAGAGGAGAAGAGAGGAGCGTTGTTCAAAGAGCCAGGAGGGAGGAATTTATGTGGATGTGGGAGAAATACACCACCCTCCTTCTCTGGCTTTTTTTTATTACAGAGGGGAAGCAGGGGCCCCCACAATCACTGCCTCATCATCACAAGTATGGAGGGGAGATATGTGTTGGGAGGAATGCACAGGAGAAGGGAAAGAAAACAGAAAGAGAAGAAAAAATGACTGAGAAAGGCAAGAAAATGGGAATAGGAAATCTATTTGTAGCAATATTTACCTGAAAGCCCCACAGGGGCCGAGTATGTCGTTCCCCCAGTATCACCGGATGAAGGTCCAGAGTCTGGAGAATCTAATGGAGAGAGAAACAGAGACTTTGAATTAGCACTGTGTGTGTTCCCGCGCGTGTGTGTGTGTGTGTGTCTGAGGGGAGAAGGCAAAGCAGCAGCTGTGAGACCGTCAATCACTCCAGTGAAATCAATGCCTAATGAAGACGCTGACGACGAAGCTCACACTCTCACACACACAGAAAGGACTTACAGAGGAGAGTTTCTTACACCCCCGATAATCCCCCATAATCCACTGCTTCAGGAGGAAAGTTAGCCCTGCATCTCTGCAGAGACAAGCTACTGATCTGGAAAAAGCTGTATTCGTTACTTGCTAATGATTGTGGCAAGGGTTTGGGCTGGAGATTTCTCTTTTAATAGAGATCCAAACTGGGCAGATTTTTGTCTCTTGATATGATTCTTGTCCCTACTTTTCTCTCCAAGGACAGAGAAATAGACTGAAAAGTAGCTACAAATATGAGACATTTATGCTAAATCGAAAAGCTAAGCATTCACACCAACAGCAAAGATGTATTAGCAACGTGTCTACCTCAAAATAAATTATACATAAGTTTGCGGCCGCTTCGGCAGACACATCTTAGGGAGACCTTGAAAGCTGTTAACCATAAATTTTCTTAACGGGCAGACAAGAGAGAAAAAACGACTTATTCTCTCTCCCTCCCGCTTTGCATTTGAATGCTTAACTCCCACTAAGACTCGTAATGTAGACTAGTTTCAACATGACACCTGAATGGAGTTTTAACAAAACCGCTGTGTGTGTTGAGCGGAGCAGCACACCGCTGGGAGCAGGCTAGCTCTGCAGCAGACCTGCTGTTGGTAGCTTGGTATTCACTAATGATACATTCCTCTCGCTGCACGTCAACGCTGTGCTACACCTACTATCCAGTGAACCAGTGTGCGGTGGTGGTCACCTCCACTCTGATTGAACTATGACTCTAAAGTGCAGTTTAAAGCTGTGCACATTGTTGCTGCTATAAAATAAAATAAAAAGCAAAAATGACCATTTCATTGAAGTTAATTTGAGGTCTATTGCAAGAACTACAGTGGAAGTAAACTGAAGAAATACAGTCACTAAGAGGTCAGTATGCATTGAATCCAAGGAGGATGGTATTTCTGTTGAATACTTCCTCTCTCCAGCTAACAGATCGTCTCTTTAGCCTCCTGTTTGCCTGAGCAGAGCTGCAGTAGCTCTGAAGTAATAAAGAAACAGCGACCAGAGCGGTTTCACTGCGAGCCCTCCTCCCTGCCACTCTGCACCCGTCCGGACGCGGGCCGTGCCGCTGTGGTCGCAGTAACGAGATGCACGGGCATAGCCCAGCCTTCCTCGCTTTCATTGGCTGCCAGCAGACTTGCCCTGATCTCCCGGGCAACAGTTCACAGCTGACCACAGGGCTGAGGGGGCATCAGAGAGAAAGAGCCAAACAGTGTGTGATTTATATTCCCCAGAGCTGAAACAAGGTAGCGTTTTACGTCTCGGCTGCTTTCATATTGACCGCTGCTGCTGGAGCGGACAGGCACCCTGACACATATAAGCCTGACTTCCTGCTCACTGGAATCATAAAACCATCATCATAAAATCCATCGTTCTTCCGCTTCATGCTGATTTTTTACAACATCTGATTGGCTGCTAAAAGTTAATATGCGGATTTTCTGAAAGTCATGATGATTTGAAACAGTCTAATATAAAGCAAATACAGAGTAGAGAAAACTGTCATAGCCCCCAGTAATGGGAAGGTTGATGATTGACAGCTCCCTGAGGCCCTGGGGAAAAACCCCTGTCTTTCTGCATGATAAGCTCATCTGTCCTCTGTGTGTATTTGAGTGTGTGTGTGTGTGTGTCTGTGTGTACCCTCCAGCTTGCTCCATTGTCCTATTAATATATGTTGTCTTTCACCCTCCTTCACCAATAGAGAGACACACAGACAGAGTCTCCTTTGATTAACCACAACTGCAGCTGCTGCCTGAATGAAACTAAATGAGGAAATAGCATGACAGGTGAGCTAGAGTCTGCTGCACTTTTTCACAAATATATTATATTGAAAAAAAAATTACTTACTTACTACAATAAATTCATATTAAATACAAATGTAAGTATAAAAACTTTACTTAAGAGAAAGAAAGGCTACCTGGTGATATTTCCCATGCCCTCTTCTACCCTTGTTGGCAACATTTAATTCCCACACAGTCAAACCAATTCAGTTTGCTGTGAGAGGGGAAACAGGGTGGTAACATGAGTTGTATAATCATTTCCTTTGTCTGGATCCAGCTTGCATTTCCTATTTACCTTCTTGTTTCCTTTCATCACTGGAATGTTTCCAACTGAACTTGTACAAAGACACTATCCTAGAGAGGATCTCACTGTTGATCATTTTATTTAAAAATTTTTTAGATCAATTCTGCCTATATCTGAGGCTTTGGAAATGCTTTTCAGGTAAGGCTTGGTAAATAAAGACAGAGGGAGGGGGGCTTTGAAGAACCATGGAGGCAGCTGCAATGACTTCCTATTGTTTCCACTCACTGAAAGCCACTTTCTCCTTCTCCTGACTAACTGGCCTGCTGATCGCTCATTGTTTGGACTCTGAGCTTTTCCTGCACTGACAGACAGCAACATTAAAAACTGAGGCCTTAACAGTCCCACACACAGACTATGCATCTATATCTTTGTCACCTTCTCTGTGACATGAAGAGAAACTGTTGAGCAGAGCTCTCCCGGTCTCGCACTATTCTGGTTATAGCCTGAAATTTAACACACTTCAAAACCGACTTAATAGGCGATGACACAACCTGATGCCACTTTCCGGCACTGGGGAATAGGATGGCAACCACAGCAGCATGTGGAGCCCGGCACAGGTGGAGTGTGAAAACAATTAAGCAAGACCAAAGCTTGTTAAGGAAAAAAACTGTCGGAAGATCAGTGGTACACACGTACACAAATACTCTCTCATGGTCTAAAAAAACATCCAGAGATGTGGAACAGTGACACACCCCCACCCACACACACACACACACACACACACGAGTCCTCAACCTTAATCTGTTGATTAATTCAGCTGATAAAGGCTGGCTGGCTCCAGAGACGCCGCTGTCTGTGCTGCGATTCACAATAGATAGATGGACACACAAACAAACACCCATACAACTCCCCCTCCCCCAGTCAGACACACACACACACACACACACACACACAGTGCCCCTGGTGACATGCCAGTCAGTCTATAGCTGGTATCTCAACTTTGTGCTGCTTTGCCCTGGCTGCCAGCCATGCTAGAACTGCCCAGCCAGCCAGGCGTGCCACTCCACTGCTATCATAAATCACAACATAACATGGAGCCTGTTTCCTACACACACACACACAAATGCACTGCAGGGGCGGTGTGTAAGACTATATGCATATATAATGTCAGACATACAGTATAGACATAAACATTCAACACAAGATGGCATTTTAGATGTGTCTGTTTTGCAAAACATATGTGTTTCAGACAATAAACATGTATTTACATCTATAAATATATAAATATCAAGCTCACCTGGTGGTTTAAGATAGTCCATGGGGTAGCGAGAATACGGAGGAGGAGGGGACTCTGCATGGAAGAAGGGAAAAAAAGCAGAGCATGAGAAAAAAAACAAGGGAGAGATCTAAACTTTATGATAAGAGTTGTCATTCTGCTGGGAAAAAGGTTTTGTGTCTGCCAGCTCAGCCTAGAGAGGCAGGCAGTGAGGCGGCCGGGCGGCTATTGCCTTTCATTGGCAGGCAGATAAACAGGGGGCCGCCTGGCGCCAGGAGGGCCACTATCAGCGTCTAGGACAAACTGAGATACGGGCCTCTTTTGGCCCGGGACGCCAAGCAAGCACATACACACACACACACACACACACACATACACACACAGGCCCTGGAAACTTCACCGTGGAAAGACTGTAAAGCCCGGGATGAGTCGCTTTGCACTTTGGAAATGCCAATTGTGAAATGTTGAAATACCAGATGGGCTGTTTGTTTGAAAAGCGGGGCTTTGGTGAAGTTGATCCTGATATAAGTTGGGAGTAAACGGCTCAGAAGTGCTTTAACGCTTCTAAAAGTGCCAAAAAAAAAAACCCACACAAGTTAAGAGTCGGGCCTAATTAAGAAACCTAAACATATTTGGCATTTAAAAACACAATCAAGAGATGAATCAGAATTAAAAAAAAAAAAAAGAGATAACATGCCAAATTCACATTTAATGACACCACACTCCCGAAAAGATGAAGAGGACCACTTGGCACGCTTTCCACATCGTGACCTTATGGAAACTCAAGACAACTGTGCCAGGAGAGGTGATGTCATTTGAATTAGGCTAATTATCCCTTTAAGAGTCTGGTAATTCTTTGACACAATGACACGGTGTCTGAATTTGTACTTGGGTTTAAAATTAGGCCCGACCACCAGAGAATTAAACGCAATTTCAGAACTTTTTGGGGGCTTTTTTTGTGAGGATGAGGTTATTAGAATAATCCAGCTCACCGAGTTCACAAAGTCTGCTCATGTGGTGCGGGTTGCAGCAAACGAGCTCTGGGTTGATTTTCCCGTAGGATTCACAGCAAGACAGCCTCTTCAGCTCCGAGGAATGCCTGAGGTCCGGCCACCTGAACACTTTGTAGAGCAGCATGGGGAGAGAGTAAGACTGTTGACCCACTTTGGCGTCCACTTTGCTGGGCAGGAGCAAGCAGGGGCTTCGGGCACCCCCCTTGGACTCCACCGCCTGCAAAAGCACCTCTAATTGTTTCTCTTTGATCTTTTTCAGTATCGAGTGGGTCAACGCCTTCAATTCAGCCTCCGACCCGGCGTTGGACTTGGCCACCTTTGCCGTTTTGCCCATGCAGCAGCCCCCGGAGCCATGCGTCCCTCTATCCGCCTCCCCGTCGCCCTCCACGGGCGCACGGCTCCTCCAGAGTCGCCGGACGAGCCCCGATCGTTTGGTCCTAAACATGCGGGACGAAAAGAGGGTTCCCCGGCTAAAAAACGAGCATGGTGTCCGCAAATCATGAAGATTCCGGGATCCGAGTCCAGGCAATGACAAGCAGCCTGAGAAAAGACGGTGGAAAAACTGGGAGCTGGATAAGCAGAGGAAATCTGTAGCATACGCCAGTCTCTGTTGCCTTCTCCTGCAGACTTGATCAACGAAAAGCAGTCGAGGTTCACGGGACAGTCAGCTCGTCCTCCGGGGATAAATAACCATCACCTCCATGCGTTTAAGACTGGGCTATAAGAATGAACGTTACAGCTTATACACTCTATACTCTATAGCGACAGGGGGAATCAGCTACAACACAGCATGTAGCCCTGAATGTGGAGCGATTATTCACTTGGTGATGTGCAGCCTAAGCGCCGTGAACTGACCCGCTTTTTGAAACACACTCCGGGCCGTTTTCAGCACATAAACACTGTCAAAACATTGTCCTACCTATGCGCATTAGCTGTGGGAATTAGACAAACTGGGGCCTAATTAAAAGGCTAAAACGCTATCACAATTATCCCATGAAAACCGTAGCTCGTCGCCGTGTCTTCAAGAGCATTAATCCACAAAATCCTTGATCCGACCGCGCAGAGTAGGGCTCTCCAGCAGCAGGCTTGCGGAGGCTTTTTTTTTTAAATTTTTTATCCGTTATCGTCTAAATATGCCACTCGTCTGCAAAGGATGTGGTCTGCTGGCAAGAATGAGCCTCGTCCATAGAGCCAGAGAGCAAATCCAGGACTGAATCTCTCACCCGAGTTGAGTTGCGTCTGAAAAAGCCGGAGAGAAAGCGAAGAGACCCCTCGGGTTACGTCCACGCAACCGAAGGCTCGTAACCTATTTTAGTAGCCGAATCCCTTTCGGATAAAATAATCCAACCTCGTATCTCACACGAAGTTTCCGTGTCTGGAGAGTGGAAGAAAAGCGAGCCGACGAGTGATCTCGAGGGGGGTAAAAGGCTCTCTGTCTGTAAATGAGGCGGATGGTTTGGGTGCCCTTGCTCCGTCTCCAGTCTCCAGTGCGCATTGACGCGCCCGGTCACGTGTGTGTCTAGACACCCTGTCGCTTAAAAGAAATGTGATTGTGTTGCGCAAACAACAGATCAAGCAGAGCCCACAGCGCACATACACACACACACA